TTTTTTTTTTTTTCACGTATAGAATTCATTGCATTCGATCGTGTTAAAATTGCGTTTTGTTTTTTTCATATATAGAAAAAAAAAATGTTCGCGAAGAATGATGAATAGAAAAGGCATGCGACCGTTTGCAGACTTTGATATTTGTTTCATGACTCTGTGATCAAGTCTTGACATCGAGAATAGAGGCAATGTAACTTGGTTGGCAGTCGACTGCTCGAAACACGAATCGATTCACAGCAAAGATCGCGCGACCAAGCGTCACGTGCGCGACTCGACCGCGCCTCTTTCTCCACTCCCTCACAATCGCCGTTACTTCGAATAGACGGACGACAATAACGTCAGCTCGTGGTACATAGCTCGCCGAAGTTATTTCTACTGAATACGATTGACCACGTGCTCAGTGGATGCTCAATGATCGCTAACCACGTGCATTCTCAGCTTGAAATAAGGAGAATCGAGAAGGACACGATGATCGTGCATGAAATATATACGATCGAAAATATCGAAAGAACTTGATTAGCTCGATCGATTATCAAGCGCGACTTTTTAACCCTTACGATCGAGAATTTGCTTTCGATAAATTGCGCTCGACGAATGAATGACGCGACAAGAATCACGTTCAAATAGCAGAACGTGAAACTGAACGGGACGAGGGAAGGGAGGGACGGTGGGAGATGATCAAAGTTCGTATGCCCAAAAACTCGTGACATATTTATACATATTTTTCATATAGGATATTACAGACTTCGGTCAGAGAAATAATCACGGAAATAAACAACGATATATAGACGAATTTGGATTGTGGCGCGTGCAAGGAATATACGATTCACGGTCTCGTTTAATTTCTCGTTGAGCGAAAATCGGCCATTCACTGATAATATTATCTATTCGAGAAAAAATCGACGCGATAATCGTTTCTCCGTGCAAAAATAAATCTTACATCGATTCTATTATTAAGTCGCAATATTATCTCGACATCTCGTCGCAGGAGCATCGCGTTATAAATAACCGATGCGTAACTAGTTCGAACGAGTCGAGCATGGACGGAATCGCGGTTGCCAAATCGGAGAAAGGGCTAACCGCGACGCGAGACGCTTTTCCGTCAATGATGCAGCCATCGGTGCGATGCGATTGTCCGCTCGACCTTGTCCGCTCTTGCGGATAAAACTGCTGCGTCCTTGGCGTCCTTCCATGACAGCGTCTCGCTGTTTCGCGCCCGTTCATTCTTCCTTCTTTTTTTTTTTTTTTTTTTTTTTTTCCTTTCAATATTGCGCGCCATCGTTTATTATTCCATTATTTCGACGGAACGTTTGTTTTTCCCATTGTTACGCAAATCACGATCGTTTAAAGCCAATTCACGTAATTAGAGATACAGAATTTTAATTTCGTAATATCTATCATCACGAAACGACTCGAATAAATAATAAACGATTCGAATTCTATAATATTTAATTCGATAATAATCCTTTTTCCAATACATTATTATTAAATATATATAATCGTTGAATTAACGATCGTTTCGATGTGTTGTAGCATTGGTGGGGTCGCGTCACATAGTGACACTGATGTTGTTCTTCGGTATGGCGAACGCTTATGTGATGAGAACGAATATGTCCGTGGCGATCGTCGCAATGGTCAATCACACCTCCATCACGGAGAGCAAGGAACCTGTGTTGAACGAGTGCAAGCACGAGAACAATGCGAACAATGATTCTTCTTCCTTCAGCTTAGCCGTAAGTACGACGCAAAATTATTTTGGCTTGCGAACGATCGCAATGCCGTTCTCTGTGCTTCCTTCTTCATTCCTTATCTCGATCGATCCTTCCTAATCAACTGATCCTCCGTACTGATTCCTGAAACCCAATAGGTATACCGCCAGTATTTCTTTCTTATGTCACAGAACCATGACGGAGAGTTTCATTGGGACAGCACCATGCAGGGTTACTTGCTCAGCTCGTTCTTCTACGGTTACGTCATCACGCAAATACCATTCGGAATACTCGCGAAACGTTACGGATCGAAATACTTTCTTGGCATCGGTATGCTGATCAATTCGATGTTTGGACTGCTGGTCCCTGTGTCCGCACGTGCCGGTTACCATTGGCTGATGATCGTTCGATTTATTCAAGGTTTGGGCGAGGTAAGCGATTAGATCTCGCATCTCCTTTCGATCTCGCATCGCACCGTGGTCCGCCCCCCGCCTTTTTTTTTCTCTCTCTCTCTCTCTCTCTCTAATTTGACCGACCCGATCGGAAAGGATAGAAAAAGTCTTTAATATCTTTCTCGTTGAACGCTTTTTGATCGTTCGGGTGTATTTCCTGCCCCTAGGAATGGATTATCCCTATTGCAGGGTCCTATTGTGCCTTGCACACACGCGATGCTGGCCAAGTGGATACCGCCTAATGAACGTAGTAGAATGGGAGCCTTCGTATACGCTGGTAAGCTCGTTCGTTTCGACGATATATTTCCGATTCTTTCGACCTGCGTAGCCTTGTCGCGTCTATCACCACGGTAAACTACTGGGATCTACCGGGAAAAAACGACACTAACCTCCCCCCTCCTCCCCTTTCTCTCCCTCTTCCATCTCCTTCTTTTTCCTTTCCTCTCTTTATATATTTACTTCTATTATCTTGTCTTATTAATTCACGTGCAAATTAAATGCATTATTATATAATGTTATATTATATTCTATACATCTTGTATTCCTATAATGTAGGCGCTCAGTTCGGTACTGTTATTTCAATGCCTTTGAGCGGTGTCCTGTCACGGCATGGATTCGATGGCGGCTGGCCCTCCATCTTTTACGTATTCGGCGCCGTTGGCACCATCTGGTGTATAGCATTTCTACTCATGATCTACGAGGACCCGGAAAGCCATCCTCGTATAGCCGAAGACGAGAAGAAGTACATCCTGAGTGCCTTGTGGGGCAACGCCGGGGCCTCTGTGAGTTTTTCCTATTCATATATTTTCCTATATTATATTTAACGCAGTAAAAATTTTTTTTCTCGCTTCCTATTTTATTATCGACTTATTCTACGCACGTTTTTCACCAGTCTCCACCAGTGCCATGGTTTTCGATCGTTACATCGTTACCGTTCTGGGCCATCCTTATAGCGCACATGGGTCAAAATTACGGATACGAAACGTTGATGACCGAGCTACCGACATTCATGAAACAAATCTTGAACTTCGACATCGAATCGGTAAATAAGAGGATGGGAAGAAGCAAGTAAGTGCAACGATAGCGTGTACAAAAAATTCTATTTCGAAATTGTGATTTCAGAACGGCACCGTTTCCGCCCTTCCTTACCTAGCCATGTGGATATTCTCGATGTTGATCTCTCACGTGGCCGACTGGATGATCTCCAGCGGAAAATTCAATCACACTTTCACGCGAAAAATCGTGAACAGTATAGGTCAGTTCGGGCCAGCGATCGCCCTAGCTGCCGCCTCCTATACAGGATGCACTTCCTGGTTGACGGTCACCATTCTCACGATCGGCGTAGGGTTAAACGGTGGTATTTATTCCGGATTCAAAGTAAATCATTTAGATATCTCGCCGAGATTTGCCGGCATATTGATGTCGTTTACCAATTGCTTGGCTAACTTGGCCGGTTTATTGGCCCCTATCACGGCCGGATACATAATCGTTGGACCGGTAAGTGTGAGAGTAGATTAATGGTTAGAGAAACGTCATCAATTGTTTTCTTATTTGCCGTTCCCTCTTTCAGCCAACTCATGCCAAATGGAGGCTCGTCTTCATGATCTCGGCCGGCGTTTACATCGCCTGTGCCACGTTTTACGTGATATTCGGCTCGGGACAACGGCAACCGTGGGACAATCCTGACAAGGACGAAGAGAGGCAACACGAGAAACAAGACTTGCGATGCGTTAAAACTGTTTCCGAAACGCAGCATTGACGAGATAGCACGCGCTAGTTATCTTCCCGCGCCCTCCTCCACGTGTTTTTCATTCTGCGTCAATCTCATTAACTTTTTTCATTTTTTCAACACGACCGTGCTGAAGAAGAATCCGTTTTCGATTGTCTCCTTCGCTTCTTCTCTCCTCCGTCGATCGCGTATTGTTATTCGTCTCGGTCGGTAATCTCGAATGATTAGAAATTTTGATTTGGTGAAGAAACGTTGATGAAAAAAGAATCGTCAGGAGTCGTGTTGTGTACATGAATCCTTGAACGTTAGACGAAATCCTAGATGCGAGAAAGAAGAAACGAACGCGAATATTATATTTCGAGCGAATTGCACTCGCAACAAGAATCGTTCTAATTTCTTTCTTTTTTTTTTTTTTTTTTTGTCGTGTACGAGGAATCGTTTGTTCCTCGCTCGTATGCCAATTTAAAACGCGCGAAAATATTTTTGCTTGCAAGATAATCAAGTTGAAAATCACGATCCTACGTCAACCACGGATTAAAATTAAAGAAAAGACACGTGTCTTCGAATGTGTGTACACGTATTTGTGCATTGCGTGCTTGCGTGTCGGTACGAGAGACACGGGAAAGGAGAGAATGATAAGCGTGTGAGAAAGTGAGCGAAACGAAAAATAGAAAGCAGATGTAATTAATTTTACGTATTTTATAATAGTATCTTTTCTTTTTTTTTTTTTTTTTTTTTTTTTTTTTTTTTTTTTTTTTATTTAATTACTGAAATTACGTGCCTTTCGATCAAAGAATATGAATAATATAAAGATCAAATCGACACGTTAATTTCCATTATATTGTATAGAAACGGGTGGCAATAATAGGCGGAAGGAACGATCGATCCAAATTTTCATTTTCTTATCTCTTGTGATTGTATATTGAATTTGTGGATCGCGCATTCCTTCCTTTTTTTTTTTTTTTTCCTTGATCAAAAGTAGTAATGTCCGATATCACAGTCAATCGTGCTTTGCGAAAAATTGCGATGCGTTCGAAACGCATAACGTCCGTATATCCATTTATATTACGAGGAAACGGAGAAATACGATAACAGTATTAGAGCAAATATCCTCGCATCTCTTCGGTCTTCGTCTTCGTTCGTTACTTGCCATATGTTAGCATAGCGAGCAACTGCCATTTTGTATTGTTAGATCGACATCGATCGCGAAAAATATGGCGAATCGATCGCGAGAACATTCGAGAATTTTTGATTCGTTATTGATAACATGACGCAATACAATAATGGTTTATAAATATTGTACATATTTTTACGTATAGGTTTCTATCGAATTGCACGACTTAGACAACTTTTTTTTTTTTTGCTCCTCTTCTTATTTATGCAAATGTGTACAAAATAGAATGAAAGGATACGAAGAAAGAGAAAAAGACAGAAAAAAGAGAATGAGAGAGAGGGAGAGAAAGATAGAGAGAGAGTAGTATTAAGCGTGTTAGAGAAAACATTCAAAATAATTATATTTGTAGTGGAATGCATTTTCTTTTTTTAATTATTGTTATTATTATTATTATTAATTAATTATTATTATTATTATTATTATCATCGTTGTTATTATTGTTGGTATTATTATTATTATTATTATTATTAGAAATAGCAGTAATAGTAGTAGTAATACTAGTAATAGAAATAGTATTCATCATCATCATCAGCATTAACATCATCATCATCATTGATATAATCGTCGTACGACTGAGCACCAAAGCAAAAATATCCGTCTTTGTTTTGCTTCTCTTTCTTTTTACTTCCGTACATGCAGGTCATCGTTACGGGTATTTCTTGTCGATCGATTACTTTTGAATTTACGTAATTTTCGTATTCGATGTGTACGCGAGATGCTCGAACGCGATAATAATATTTCCTATCCTCGCCTTCAAGCGAAAATTTGTCCGTGACATCCAACATAGAATGTACTCGATATCTTTCAAATTATCTAATCGTATTTCTGTTTATTATTATATATATTTTTGTCTAACCGATCTTTGATCGTATTGATGATATTCTTGATTGAACAGACAGGAATCGGTTTAAAGTACCTGCGTCTTTTTGTGATCTTTCTATTTTAATTATATCATCTATATCTTTGTCAAAAGTTACTACTAGATACGTGGTTTACTTTAATCACTTTAATCATTGTTACAGAAAAAATAACCGATTATCAATTCTAAATTTTACGTGCGTGAGGATATTTTAAGTTGTGATCATGGATTAAATGCTGGTATAATCAAAATTAATTTTGTACTTTAATTGTTAGATTATATGTAACTACGTATATGTATATATATATATATATATATATATATATATATATACACGTGTGCTATGTATATATGTACTTGGTATGTGCCAAAGTGCGTATATGCATCCATGCGTTACCGATGATCGCAATAAAAAAATTTATATTCGCAAAATTTTGAGAAATAATTCTCGAGATATTATGTAGACAATTGTAAAACAATCGATATTTTTATACAAATATTTGTGACTATTGAACGGCCAAGACTGATGCAATCTCTTGGGACCGTATGTAATTGTCTTTCATATTGTCGAAATTATAAAAGTATAATGATGTACACACGGGTAAATAAAATATAGTCGTTCGACAATTATATTCATTGTGTCATTGGTTAACTTGATTCCTATTCATTTTTTATAATTTAATCTTTTTTAATTAATTTAATCTAATTAATTTTAAAAAATCAAATCTCAATACAAAATCAAAAATTAAATAAAAGAAATTATACATATTCGTTTAATTCAACCAGAGACTATAGATACGTATAGAATATATATTCTATACATATCTATAGTCTGTGGTTGAAATGGACGACATGTATATGTGTTAATGCATTCTTGTTGCAGTTTATGGACTACATAATCTTTATTATTTGTACTTTAAATGCAGTATTATTTATTCAGAATAATGGAATAAGATTAAAAGAGTATTACTGAAATTGAAATACATGTATATTTACACACATGACAAATGAAATTTAATTAAAATTTATAATTTTTAATACATACTTATATAATTCTATTATAATGGATATTTCGTATAAAATATGTACGAAATATTCATCTACTGATATAACGATATACGACATATAAAAATATTGTTCGTACATTTTGTTCGTAAATTGGACGAAGATTGAAAAATTTCAAGATTACTGCCATCTCGTGTTTGTGTATTAAAATTAGGAAATTATCCTATCCTAATGAATGATGTAACGAATGATGTGAGCGCGCACGTCACGGAAAATTTCTTATTCTATGGCGGATAATGTGGACATATGTCATCAATCATACAGCTTATTTTGCATGTGAACAGATATTTATGATGTTCGATAGATGGTCAATTCTTACACCATCTCTCTCATTATTTGCTGTGTTGTCATTTGCAAATGATGACTCTGAAAATGATGCTAACTTTAATATTTTTATTTTATGTGTATTCTTCCATTATAATCTCCTTGTCTATATTTGTTCTTGGCGCATATATATCATAATATAATCATAAACAAGATGAATGGGATATCAATTTAATATATTTCTTCGTTTTCCTTTTGAAACTACAATTGCGTTTTAATCTTTAATTTTAAAAATATCTAAGTCTATATTAATCATTTGAATGAAATCATCTACTAGTAGTGGATATGATTCATATAGAACCACGATATGAATATGATATCCCGTTTATTACTTTTATACGTTCTGATATTCTCAATTAGATATTTCATTAATTATATATTAATTCTTTTTAAATACCAATAATGTTATCAATCATTGGATTAAAAGAAAACTGGCTTTAATTCATCAACATGATAATTAAATATTTTCTCGTAATGCTTGCTAAAGTCTTTTTCTTCTTTAAACTTACGCTCAATAAAAAGATAATAAACTTAATCAAATAATAAAAGCAGTTTCTTAAGCCTATAAGTTTTACAGAGCAAATATAGAAAAGGAAAGGAAATAGTGAGACAAAGACAGAAATAGAGTAAAGATATTGAAATCAGCGTTATCTTCAAAATGCCGTAAATGAAACACATAAAGTAAAGATAGAAAATAATGGAAAAAAGATAAAAATAGAATAAGAATCGCCTTACAGCGCTATCTCTTGGATATCAAAAACATCTCTTTAAGATTAGCGTTATCTTTGGAACGTTACTTCTTCAGAAAAAAGTTATATATTTTTAATAGAGATGGCACTGATAGTTAATTCTAATTCTTGTCTGTCTTTCTTTTATTTTTTTCCGTCCTTTCTTTGTATATTTCATTTGTGACACTCTGAAGATGGCGCTGATTCCAGTATTTTTATTCTATCTTTATCTTTTTCCCATTATTTTCTCTCCTTGTCTATATCCATAGGTATTCCGTAAAATATATATATTCAAGAAACGATTTCAATATCTAATTTATTGTCTTTTTAATCTGCTCTATTGATTAAAAATCAAGCATTTTATTTTTATA